GGAGATTGCATTTCGGATATCATCGAAATTTTCAAATGTTTTGTTACATAGAAAGTGTTGTAGCGATCGGAATAAATGGAAATCCGATGGTGCAATGTCGGGCGATATGGTGGGTGAGGCAGTACCTCCCACCCAAATTCATTAATTTTTTCCAGGGTTTGTCTTGCACAGTGCGATCTTGCATTATCGTGTTAAAGAATAACACCTTTTCTGTTGACAATCACTGGATACTTTTCAATTAAAGATTGATTTACTCGATCAAATTGTTCACAGTAAAGGTCTGCATTCACAGTTTGTCCAGGTTTCAGCACTTCAAAATGAATGATTCTGCGAATACTCCACCAAACACACAAAAGCGCCTTTTTTGGGATGTAAACCTGGCTTAGTAGTACTTTGTGGAGATTCATTCGGAGAGAACCACTGCCTTTTGAGTTTTGGATTATCATAGAGGACCCACTTTTCATCTCCAGTGATCAAACGATCAAAAAACGCTTCTGTATTGTGCCGCTGAAGCAATAAGTTGCATATGGTGGATCGGTTAGCTTTGTTTTCTTCGGACATATTATGCGGGACCCAAACACCTGCTCTGCATACTTTATACCAATCTGCTGCAAATGTTCTTGGATGGTAGAGCAAGGTTGGTTAAGAGTGTTTGACAGTTCCTTGATTGTCTGACACGGATTTGCTTCCACTTCCGCCGTTAACACATCATTGTCTAAAGTTGTTGGTCTTCCTGATGAGTCGGAAAGATCAAAATTACCGCATCTGAACTTAGAAAACCACCTTTGGCATTTACGAACATCTAATGCACTTGGATAAACATCGCAAATGTTTTTGGTAGCAATTGTTGCATTACTACCCTTGTGAAACTCAAAAAGCATACAATGCCGGATAGGTACTGTACCTCTTCTGGTATTTGGCTGGCCATTTCACCCAAAATTGCAAAAAAAAAAAAATTTAAGATTTAATTATTTACAAGTAAACAAGTCACTTTAACATTAAAATGTCTTTCGCACGGCTTTGAAGAACGTAATGAGCTGATAAATGATAAACAAGTGTTGACATGTGCAGAAATGACATTACTTTCCGGTTGACGTAATATATTTTAAAGATCATTATTTACATGCAGTAGTTGTTTAACACACTCAAACTACGATTGGAGTGGATTGATAATTTAAGGTAAGGAACACTTGAGCGATCTACCAAGGAGATGGAGACAGTGCCTCCTGGAAGTACTTTTACGGAAAACTGGCTTTTATTTAGGTATTAGACACGGAAAACTCTACACACCCAGCCCGTTGCGACCAACTGCCCGTGTTCAGTGGCTTCGGCCATTGGTGGGCCACATTCAAACTAACATTGTTTTCTAAATTTCCAATTTTACATGGAAAATTTCTGCCAAACATTTTAATTTAAGGAGTACAGTAATAACTCAATGAAAGTAGAAAACAAAATAAAAATATACTAATAAGCCACGTATTTCTTACACAAGTGCGTGACAAAACGTAATACCCGATTGGTTGTTTTTATTTGAACTTGACTTTTACCAACAAAATTAAAAATTTCAAACGCTACAATTGCTCAATTACTTTATTAGTATACCTACCAATCTACTTTAAATTTCATTACCTATATTTCACTGATTTAATGATACTTCATAGTTTATTGATTACATTATTGAACNCCAACAAATTATTGGATAGGGAAAAATTTAATATGGCACTGGTGATAACTAAAAATATTGCAGATATTTTGTCTAATTATGGAACGCAAGCCTTCAATAAATATGTAGAGGAATTAAAAGTAATAGAAAGCAATGCAAGAAATGGAATTTTTCTTTTTGAACATGGGAGTAGTGGGCTTACAATTGAACCAGAACCTGAAGAACAAATTCGGTCTAATAACGAGCCCTGTTCAAATCAATCAAATAAAAACTTAAAATTCAAAACTAAAATTAAATCCAAGGACGTCCGAAGAGAAAGACTAAGCAGACCACTTTTTACAAAAAAAAAATACAGAATAAAAAATAATATATTTATTTTACTTTATTGGTATACCTACCAATCTACTTTAAATTTCATTACCTATATTTCATTGATTTAATGACACTTCATAGTTTATTGATTACTTTATTGAACAACATTGTAACTGAACTTTAATAAATAAAACTATATTTATTTATAATTGTGTAGTTATTATCAAAATATTAATTGTAATAATAGTGCATACAGTCAGTATCTGGCTGCAATATAGGAACATACAGTCAGTATGTATAAATAGCCACAACCTTATAAATACATCATTTCATGCTGTGGAGCCATTCATTAAAATATCCATAAATGATTTTGGCACGCACAAGAGTAGCTTAGACTTTTATTCTATTTCTACCTTCTTCTGCAACTTATCTACATATTCACTCTTGTCTAATACAATTATAATACTACATATTAACTTTATATAGTATATTTTAATTATAATGTATATGACCTCTTGAACAAATAGAAAAATGAGATAAAACAGTAATGATTATATAATAGAAATACAGTAAGAAAAACAAATAGTGACTGATTGATATTACTGTACAGTTGACCCCCCCTATAACACTGTTGATTATTCCGTTTTATATGAATTCCATGTTGTATGAGTCACTTAGATTTTACAAATATGTGAGCCATTCATAGCCCGGCACACGTATTTGTAAAATCTGTGACTCGTACAACATGGAATTCATATAAAACGGAATAATCAACAGTGTTATAGGGGGTCGACTGTATTATTCATTGATATTTTTATACATTAACATTTACTAGAGAATTAGATTAAATAAAAATTATAAACATCACCAAATCAATGGAAAATACAATTAAAAAATGGATATTGAAATTATATATGTAAAGAAAAAATTATTTTCAATGGGTTTATATTTGTAATGTGTACATTCAATTGTAATTTTTTAAATTTTTATTTAAAGCTGGTGCCAGAGTAGCTTTTAGATGACACCATCTATCACATGGGATTTGGATAGTTTCATGTCTCAAAATTGCCTATTTCTACCTTCTTCTGCAACCCATTCTGCCATCTTTCAAATGAAAACTAGAAAACCAGAGCATGATGATCCTCATATTACTTTCCTTAGTATTGATAATAGTGAATGAATAGAAATCTTTTTTATTTTAGATTAAGAAGTGGCAGAGAGAAAATCATTTATTTTCTTACTAAATTCAGTTGAGTTATTTTTCTAGAAAATAAGTAGTTCTTTATTCTGTTTGATTTTCTTTTAATTATACAAAATATTTTTAAACTAAACTGTTTCATAATCAATATTAGTTTCAAATAATTCGTTAAATTTTAAAATTCTAAATTATTAAAGCTACTTTATTTAAAATTATATGTTTATCATCACATACTTGGTTATTTATTTATATTGAAATATTTCTCTATCTCTACTTTTTTAGATTAAAATTTCTTCAATTATTTCTCTATGAAAGAAACAAAATTCCTTTCAACTTCCAATTTTCATAAAATCTTTTATCATATGAAATCTAAATTTTTTCTAAGTAATATTTTCTATAATAAAATCACTTTCTTTAGTGGTATTATCACATTTAGTTTCATTTTTATATCACAAACATCAAAAGTTTGATTATTTCAAGATACAGATATCCAATTTTAAATATTATATCCCTAGATAACATTTCTATATCTGAATTTTCCTCTTCATGAACCACATTCATGCTGAACAATTCCCATAAGTCTTATCAATTTTCTACTTTTATCATCAATGCTTTTTGATGTCTTCCATCAATTTTCATCTGGATCATTGTCTGTTAATCATCATCCATTTATAAATTATGTAACTTCATCAGTAAAATTTAAGTTATTCCACAAAATATTGCCTATTCATGAAATTTATTTTCAGTCCATTATCCTGTTGGCATTATCAGTTAAATAATTTTAAAATTGAAAAATTAATTTAATAATGAAACATTCTAGGAAATAAAAGACAAATGATGCTAAATTCAATTTTGATAAGAATAGTTTTAAATTTAAGCACTTCTTTTGTATGATAGAAGCTATGGTTTCAATGTATTGTTTAACACGGCTGGCTCTGACATCTGTTTTTTGGGACTCAGACTGAGGCAGACACACTTTCAAATTTCTAAGTAAATTTAATTAAAAACTTTTTTGCAAATGTTTTGGGGCTCCACTAAACTTTTTCTTAAGGCGCCACAAAACCTCTGCCAGCCTTCATTTAACATTTAATCAATATTTAAAATAAAATAATTCTGTATCAACTTTTTATTATTAATTGACAGAATATCAATAAAAACAGTTTCTTTTGTAAAGAAATTTGTTTAACCAATTTTCTTCACATTTGAATTAATCATTTAAAACCTATATTCAATCTATAGAATTCTGTTTAATTGATAATAAAGGTTTTTATATGTAAATAAAAATTCATTATTACATATTTTAATGTAATATGTTATTTAGAATCCAGTTAGTAAAAAATGAATGATAGAACTAAAAATTTTAAATAATTTTGCATGTCAATGTTCTAAACTAGCTTAAAAATATCCAAAATTATGAATTTTATAAACAAATTGCAAAAACTCAATACATAATTGATGAAATTTTTAAAATATTTTAAGTACTTTTTGATTTTATAGCTGCATTTTTTAATTTTTTTCACTTAAAACTATATTTAACAGGTTTTTTTTATATAAAATTACCACGCAATAACATTGCAACTTAATGTTTTTATATCAAAGTATGAAAATAACAGTATATTTGCTATAATATACTTAATAAATGTACAATTTTGATTGAAAAATTATTCTTGTTTAACTTGTAGCTGAACGTTTAAAATTAATTTTGAAATTCATGAATATAAAGTTGAAAATGTGAAGCAATGCATTTAATAATTTCTAAATAAACATTTTGGCTATCTATATATGTTTATATATGTATATATTATATAAACAGAAAATGAAATTAAAAATCAAGAAACATATACACAAAGTTTTGTTTTTATTATTACATGATAAATTTAGCAACAGGAAAACAAAATACTAAAGGAATACCAAACTATCCCATTATACAAGTATAACATTACTACTAATTTGCAAACAATGAAATGACATCACAGGAATTTTACAGTATGTAAATGATGATTATTACAAGTGTGTGGTGAATATGTTTGTTCTTACATAAAAAATATTTGGCTATAACTTTAAATCACAAGATGGCAGAAGGACAATAGTAAATAATACAAATGTCACTGATGCATTTAGGACCGTTTAGATTTTCCTCGGAATCGTTTTCCGTTAATTATTGCCGTCAAGCAAGAACGTACAATGCACGCTTCCAGACGTGCATTGTTGAATGCATGGGACCACTCGTAAGATAACTATTGTGGTTCCTCTGATGAAAACTTAAAATTTATAGATGTTTGTCGCTGAGAACAGTCATCCTCTGGTGTACAGTGCAATATCACTAGTCCACGCTTTTCTTTCTTTTAAATTCTCTTAATGTCAAAATCAATATTAAAATGGAAACTATAAATTAATAATAAATGAATGAAGCATTGTTATTAAATGAGAAATATAGAAATGCAAACATAGATGAAGTTTTCTATATTATGAAAATGAGTGTTTTTTGTTTACTCACAAAAATTAAGAAGACTTTACAGATAAACATTCTGATATATAAATAATGAAACATGAAACACATTTTAAAATTTTTGTCTATATAAATGTTAATATTCAAATGAATCTAGAATTTCAGGAAAAAAAAAAGAAACAAAAACAGACATTTAGGGAAGTTTTACCTGAGGAAAGTGAACAACAGAAAACTGCAAGCATTTTTAAGTATGTTTGATTATTATAGCAAACTCTTATTTGAACATGTATATGCAGACAAACTAATTACACAAAAAGGTACAAATGCCATCTGAATTTTTTACAAATACTGTTCTCCGTTTTATGACGATGACATATATTGGTAGAATTGACATTTTTGTGTCTGTTAAATATATTTTGTTTCAAAAATTTTTTTACATAGATTTTCAATAATTTTTTTCTCTGTGAAAAATAACATTTATGATGGAATTCTAATTATATAGTGGGCATGTATCCGATGGGAGTGCAAATATATATTTGTACATAGACAAACAGAAACAAATGGTGCATTAATGAAAACGTCTGATGTATGCACCATATTGTAAAATAAAATTGCAGTGACGATGAAACAAATTTATACATATGTGCGTACATAAGCAAATACACATATACACACATATATATAAAATTAAATCCCTCGCTTTCCAGTTGAAAGAATTAGCATCCATTGTATTATTGCAATGCCCAAAAATATGGATATTTTTAAATTTTGTCTTCTACCTAAAATAGGTTTTATTAAGTTTTAGACCATGCATATTTTGACAACATGGAAATTCTTGCAGTTTTTATTCATCACCAACATATGTCAAATAAAAACATTAATATTGGAGATGTTAGAGATTTGTGAAAATTTTCAGTCAATATTATTGTGATTTTCCATCCACTTGTGTTTTCTCAATTTCATTTTCTTGTGCAGATCCTATGATAGTGGGATCCATGGCCAGTAGGGCTTGAAGTGTTTCTAGTGGAATGGACTGATCACTGGGTACTTGCAAAGTTGTTGTACCATCTGGATTCTGGACAATGACAACATTGTTTGGCATGTAATTTTGTGATAACTGGTCACCGAGTTCTGTCACTCCTTCGACTTGACCACACATGGACCACGTGCCAATGACTTGGCCATCGGGAAGAACTAACTGTCGAATTACAGCAGTTCCGTCATCTGCACTTTCAGCACACACGACCTTAAAGAAAAAGTTAATATTTTTAATTTAAACAAGTAAAATGTTTTAAAATAATCAATTTTATTTCAATTGAAAATCAGTTTAAATTATTCTAAACAATTTTAACGAAAACTGAAGAAAAAAAAACTACACACTATATATATATACATATACACAAGGCACATTCACAAAGTACCATCTGGCTGTTAATTAAAAGTAGGCAATTGAAACAAAAATTATTTAATTACCATTAAATTATACATAACTTAATCTACTTTTCAATATAATCACTATGCAAATTGAGGCACTTATCATATCTTGGAACTAAATTGATGATAGAATTCCACCACCTGTGACTCAAGCTATTTCTGGACATTGCAATGATTGTTGTTTGCTTTCTGGTGTCACATGGCAAATCCATGTTTTGTCACCAGTGACAATTAATTTCAAAAATCCATTTCCTTCCCCTTCATACTGCTGCAAAAATTCTAATGCTGATCCAATGTGTTTTGTTTTGTGAATGAATTATCATTTTTGGCAACCATCTCGAACACAACTTTTTGAAGTGCGAGTGCTTAGTCACAATCTCATGCAGTGAAGATCTTGAAATGTCAGGAAATTGTAAACACATATCAGAAATTGTGAACTATCTATCAGAACAAATCATCTCTTTGACATTGCATAGCAAGTTTTCATTGACTAGGGATGGGTGGTCACTACACTCCTATTCATGAACATTGTCCCTTTGTTAAATATTCTAACCCATTTTCTATCATATCTATTATAATAAAAAGAAAAAATGTGACAAGGCTCCCTCTGTCGCATAGCAGAAGAGTTAATATTTTTTTATGTAAACAAACTGCATGCAAGTCAGCCATGTCGTTTTCTTGTGAAGTCCATGTGTAAAGTTAGCTATTTCAATAAAAAGTAATAGGTTATGGTATGGTAGACCAGTAGGAAGATTTGATCATCTGAGAATTTTCAGCACTGGATGCTACATACATATAAACAAGAATTTTCAATTGAAGTTTGACAGTAAAGCTATTTTCAGACAGTTGATTGAGTATGTTAACAATAAGGATGGATTTCGAGTCTGGATTCCTTCTCAAAGGAAAGTGCTTATGAATCATAATGTGAAATTCAAACCAGAAGTCGTCTGCAATTGGCACAATGATACTGTGGAATTTGACTTTCCACGAGAGCAGCTTCTGACATCAGGTTGGTCCAATCTGTTGTCTGAGGTGAAGGAAACAGAGGAAATCAAATCAAAACCGAAGAATTCATCACGGCATCTTCTTCTGGAGGAAGCAAAGATCGAGTAAATGTGATAAAAGAGAAGAATCAATGGAACTTTTATCAAAGCAAAATACTGAAACTTCTGACAAAGAAAACTGGAGAAGCAAGAGACAGCAAGGTAAACCATCCTGGATGGAAAGCAATGAATTCTTAATGATGACAGGAGTTGTTGCTGGGAGACCCAAACTCATTTTCTGAAGTATTGCAATTGAACAAGAAAGAGATATGGATGCAAACTATTCATGAAGAAATGGAATCTCTAAAACAAAATGATACATGGAGGTTAGTCAAATGTCCAAAGGATGCACAAGTTTTGAAAAATCATTGGGTTCTGCACAAGAAAACTAAACATGAAAGAAGCACTTGCTTCAAAGATTGGTTAGTTGCAAAAGGTTTTGCTCAAAAACCAGGAATTGATCATGAGGAAACATTTAGTCCTGTTGTATGTTATGACACCATTCGGACCTTGTTAGCAGTAGCAGCTGCAAAGAATATGCAATTGGAACAGTTTAACATAAAGACAGCTTTCCTGAATGGCATACTGAAGAGAAAGTGTATTTGGAACAACCAGAGGGTTTCAATGATAGTACCAGGAATTGACTATGAGGAATTGATTATTAATGATTTATCATATTCATGAAGACAGAAAGTTTTCAAAACAGTATTGCAGATCCTTGTCTTTTTTTTTTTTTTTTTTTTAAATCAAAACCAGAATAAAAAGCAACTCTACTTTGCAATTTATATAGATGATGGTATAATTGTTGGAAGTGACAGGAAAGAGATCGCTGGTTTTTTGAGAGATCTGTAACAAGAATTTAATATGACAATGGGTCTTGACAATTTTCTTGGATGAAAATAAAACAATATGAAGATGGATCAATTACACAAGTCAAGAAAATTACACAAAGCTGTGCAATTACACAAATTACACTGTTGGCTGTGAAGAAATTGATCGTGATGAGGCAGTGTCATCTGATATACCCTATCGCGAGACAGTGGGCTGTCTCATGTATCAACAGCTTCTTGTCAAGATATTGCCTTTGCAGTGAATAAAGCTGCTTGAGCTACAGAGAAACCAACTATTCAAAATTGGAATCAGATAAAATGTATATTTCGATACTTGAAAGGTACTATGAATGGATGAATCACTTATAATAAAGAAGAAGAACTGAAAGTCTACAGTGATTCTGATTTTGCTGGTGATAAGAAGACAAAACATTCAACAACTGGAATCATCAGAAAATGTGGATCTATATCATGGACTAGCCAATTACAAAAAGTAGTGGCAACTTCCACAAATGAGGTAGAGATTATCTCAGCAAGTGAAGGAACAAAAGAATTAATTTGGCTACAATGTTTATTGTCTGAATTAATTGAAATGCCAGAGCAGCTCCCAACACTTTATATTGACAATGCAAGGGCTATAAAGCTAGCAAAGAATTCAGAATTTCATCAATGGTCCAAACACATTGAGGTTCAACACTTTTATGTATGTGAAAGATTTTTAAATGGTGAACTTAAATTGGAGCACATTGACAGAAAAAACCAATTGGCTAATCTGTTGACAATGCTGCTTACACGTGTCTGATTTGATTTTGCTAAGAGAAAAGATTGGTATATGGAGGTTATGTGGATGATGCAGTCCTCCTCATTTCCCATGCTAACCAGAAAGTCCTGCAGGATAATATAAACAGAATCCTCGAATCTCTTTATAATTGGACAAAAGAGAACAAGTTGGTAATAAATATTGATAAATGTAAGGATATAATTATCCCCAGGGCCAACCCACTGGCTAAAAAGCCCTCCATTCACATTGAAGGGACTAAAATCAAAATCAATGACACTATCAAGTATATTGGCCTCACCCTGGACCAAAGGTTATCGTGGAAGGATCATTTTCAAATAATACATGACAAGGCAGTTAAAATCTGCCATTCTCTTAGGTCTATATCCAGAAATACCTGTAGCTTAGACACTAATGCTACAAAGACTATCTATCTGGGGGCAATTGTGCCAGCCATTACATATGGGAGTAAGATCTGGGGACGTGCAGTTGATAGGATCCATATCCGGAGAAAGCTTAGATCCATTCAACGCATGGCCACTATCTTTACAGCCAAGAGTTATAGAACTGCTCCCACCAGTGCTCTCCTTGCTATTACTGGTCTCCCCATTGACCTAAAAATAAAAGAGAAGATGTGGAAGTTCTTCCTCACCAACATTGGTCAAAAAGGTACTATCCTCAGCAACCTTAGGATGTTACATCCCAAAAATCCCCTGCCTCTTCATATTGCTGACTGGCTAACTCCATTACTGTGACAGGCTTAGACAAGGCTTACTAACATAGTGAGCTTCATCCAGCAATCAACATAAATGCTTGGTTCCACATGACCACTGACAAGATTCCAAACAACCTAAATATTTACACTGACAAGTCTAAGTCAGAGAATAGCGTTAGGGAACTCCTTTGTGGTTGCTGACAATAGGAAACAGTTATTCAAGCATAACTGCTTTAGGCTTGCAAATCATTGCACCAACAACCAAGCTGAGTCTTATGCTATTTACAGGGCTCTGTTGTTCTTGGACTCACAGCACAACTCTTGCGATTTTAATGAGCCTTTGATAAGGCTCAATTAAGGCTTAATTGTTTTTTAATGGGAGTTTTTTAGCAAATTTATTTCATGGTTCCTAAGTTGTAGTGCACGGATTTTCCTTCGGTAAAGTTATTTAAAGAACAGAACCATCAACATCATCACTGACAGTAGGGTGGCCCTTCACCAGATCCGTAGCAGGAATGTTAACTTGACTATCATTAGTGAGTCAATTAACCTCCATATTAGTCTGCAACAGGAGATGCAGATTAACTTCTACTGGATCAAGGCCACTCCAATAACAACTGGAATGACAAGGCCAATCAATTGGCACAAACTGCTCCTCTTACTTCCTTATCCCACCTCCTGGATCTCTTATAAATTAAATCAGCAAACTGCCAAGGAGTGGCAGGAAGAATGGGATTCTGGAGACACTGGTAGAATCACCTATGAATTCCTTCCAAAGGTCACCTCTTCCACTACTGGTGTCTGACATTCTCCTTCCACCTAACCTAGTTGCTAACTGGGCATGGAAACTTCAGGGCGTACCTGAAAAGGTTCCTGAACCTTCAGGTAGGTAACAGCAAGTGTACTCACTGTCCTGAGGATGATAAAACATCTCTAGGTCTGCTTTTTCATTGCCAAAAATATGAGGAACAATGCCTATAAATAGTGACCAACATTCTCAAAGACAATCTTCCTTGACCCTGCCAACTTTCCATTCTGCTAGAGTAAGTATGTCCAGTAAGTATTTTCAGTAGAGTGAAGTCCAGTAAGTATTTGTAGTACCTGTTGTTCAACAGGTACTACAAATACTTACTGGACTTCATTAAACATCTGGACAATTTCAAGTATGATCAGACTCAGCAGAACCACACAAACTGAGATTTTCCAGCCAGTTCTGCATTCTCTGCGTGCTGCAACATTATCCTCTGTACCATCACACTAGTGATGCCTCTCTAACTTTGTATTTTTACTGTGCCTCATATATATAAATGTTTTATTATATTGTTGTTTCCCATGTGCGGGAATTCTTTAAATATTATATTCTCTTTAATAATTGGTTCCCGGCACAGTGCTTATGATACCCACTTCCTTCTGCTTCCTTTCCCCACTATCCACCCACCTCTTCCC